CACACACACAGTGTACACACACACAGGGTGTGGTCACAGTGACCAGGTCACACACCTGGCGTTATGAACTGCGCGTAGAACGTCGTCCGTCCCGGCATGGCCGACGCCGGCGCTATGGGCACGGGCGTGGTGGTGGTACCACCGCCACCACCGCCACCACCGCCACCACCGCCACCACCGCCACCACCACCACCGCGGCCCCGCACACTGCCGGCACTAGCCAAGGTCACCAGCACCTTGGGTTGCTGCATCGTGACGGGAGCGGGCGGCGGTGGTGGTGACGTCACTGCCAGGACTGTGGCACCGCCGCTTGTCCGAGTCACGTGACCACAGGCTGTCTGACCCACGTGACCACTGGTTGTCTGACCCACGTGACCACAGGCTGTCTGACCCACGTGACCACTGGCTGTCTGACCCACGTGACCACTGGGCATCTGACTTACGTGTCCGCTAGCAATCTGACCCACTTGACCACTGGGCATCTGACTCACGTGACCACTTGCAATCTGACCCACGTGACCACTGGCTGTCTGACTCACGTGTCCGCTAGCAATCTGACCCACTTGACCACTGATCATCTGACTCACGTGACCACTGGCTGTCTGACACACGTGACCACTGGCTGTCTGACCCACGTGACCACTGGTTGTCTGACTCACGTGACCACTGGTTGTCTGACTCACGTGACCACTGGTTGTCTGACTCACGTGACCACTTGCAATCTGACCCACGTGACCACAGGCTGTCTGACCCACGTGACCACTGGTTGTCTGACCCACGTGACCACTGGGCATCTGACCCACGTGACCACAGGCTGTCTGACCCACGTGACCACTGGGCATCTGACTTACGTGTCCGCTAGCAATCTGACCCACTTGACCACTGGGCATCTGACTCACGTGACCACTGGCTGTCTGACCCACGTGACCACAGGCTGTCTGACCCACGTGACCACTGGTTGTCTGACCCACGTGACCACTGGGCATCTGACCCACGTGACCACTGGTTGTCTGACTCACGTGACCACTTGCCATCTGACTCACTTGACCACTAGCAATCTGACCCACTTGACCACTGGGCATCTGACTCACGTGACCACTGGCTGTCTGACCCACGTGACCACTGGCTGTCTGACCCACGTGACCACTAGCCATCTGACTCACTTGACCACTAGCCATCTGACCCACGTGACCACTGGGCATCTGACCCACGTGACCACTGGCTGTCTGACTCACGTGACCACTAGCCATCTGACTCAGGTGACCACTGGCTGTCTGAGCCACGTGACCACTAGGCATCTGACTCACGTGACCACTGGCCGTCTGACTCACACGCCCACTAGGCATCTGACTCATGTGACCACTGGCCATCTGACTCATGTTCCCGCTAGCAATCTGACCCACGTGACCACTAGGCATCTGACCCACGTGACCACTGGCTGTCTGACTCACGTGACCACTAGCCATCTGAGTCACGTGACTACTAGCAATCTGACCCATGTGACTACTGGCCATCTGACCCACGTGTCCACTAGCCATCTGACTCACGTGACCACTGGGCATCTGACCCACGTGACCACTGGCCGTCTGAGCCACGTGACCACTTGCCATCTGACTCATGTTCCCGCTAGCAATCTGGCCCACGTGCCCACTAGCCATCTGACCCACTTGACCACTGGCCATCTGACTCACGTGACCACTGGCCATCTGACTCACGTGACCACTGGCCATCTGACTCACGTGACCACTGGCCATCTGACCCACGTGTCCTATAGCTGTCTGACCCACATGACCACTGGCTGTCTGACCCACGTGACCACTTGCCATCTGACTTACGTGACCACTAGGCATCTGACTCACATGCCCACTAGCAATCTGACTCACATGTCCACTTGCCATCTGATTCATGTTCACGCTATCAATCTGACTCACGTGCCCACTAGCAATCTGACTCACGTTCCCGCTAGCAATCTGACTCACATGCCCGCTAGCAATCTGACTCACATGCCCGCTAGCAATCTGACTCATGTTCACGCTATCAATCTGACCCACGTGCCCACTAGCAATCTGACTGATATGCCCGCTAGCAATCTGACTCACATGCCCGCTAGCAATCTGACTCACATGCCCACTAGCAATCTGACTCACATGCCCGCTAGCAATCTGACTCACATGCCCGCTAGCAATCTGACTCACATGCCCGCTAGCAATCTGACTCACATGCCCGCTAGCAATCTGACTCACATGCCCGCTAGCCAAGTGGCCAGCCAACACCAGCTGCTGCTGCTGTGGCTGCTGTAGCTGCTGATGTAGCTGCTGCTGCTCTGGCTGGTGTAGCTGCTGCTGCAGCTGCTGCTGTAGCTGCTGCTGAAACTGCTGCTGTTGCTGCCCGGATTCTAACGCAGCCACCGACACCAGCTGCTGCTGCTGCTGCTGTTGTTCTAGCAGCTGCTGTTGCTGCAGCAGCAGCTGCTGCAGCTGCTGCTGCTGCTGCTGCTGCAGCTGGAGGTGGCTGCCCGGCTCGTGAGCGGCCAGGGCAGCCGGCGCCGTGCGGACGCGCGGAAGCATTGTCGCCCCGCCCGCCGCGTTACTCCGGATGGCGCAAAGCGACGTGGACTGCTGCTGCTGCTGCTCCTGCTGCAGCTGCTGCTGCTGCTGGGTGATGCTGGTGATGCTGGTGAAGCTGCAGCTGCTGCTGCTCTAGCTCGTCGTCGTGGTGGTCTTGCGAGAATGGTTCGCACAGAGCTGGGAGCGCCAGCGCCTGCTCCGTGGAGGAATCGACGCTCATGGGGCTTGAGTCGGTGAGCAGATCCGTCTGTGGGGAGGAGTGTGTGGGGGGGGGGGGTGAGTAGGTGGGTGGGTGAGTGGGGGGTGGGTGTGTGGGTGGGTGGGTGGGTGAGTGGTGGGTGGGTGGGTGTGTGGGTGAGTGGGTGGTGGGTGAGTGGGTGGGTGGGTGTGTGGGTGAGTGGGTGGGTGGGTGTGTGGGTGGGTGAGTGGGTGGGTGAGTGGGTGGGTGAGTGGGTGTGTGGGTGAGTGGGTGGGTGGGTGAGTGGGTGAGTGGGTGTGTGGGTGAGTGAGTGGGTGGGTGTGTGGGTGAGTGGGTGGGTGGGTGTGTGGGTGGGTGTGTGAGTGGGTGGGTGGGTGAGTGGGTGGGTGGGTGAGTGGGTGGGTGTGTGGGTGAGTGGGTGGGTGGGTGTGTGGGTGGGTGTGTGAGTGGGTGGGTGGGTGAGTGGGTGGGTGAGTGGGTGGGTGAGTGGGTGAGTGGGTGGGTGGGTGAGTGGGTGAGTGGGTGGGTGGGTGAGTGGGTGGGTGAGTGGGTGGGTGGGTGAGTGGGTGGGTGGGTGGGTGGGTGAGTGGGTGGGTGGGTGAGTGGGTGGGTGGGTGAGTGGGTGGGTGGGTGAGTGGGTGGGTGAGTGGGTGGGTGGGTGAGTGGATGGGTGAGTGGGTGGGTGGGTGAGTGGGTGGATGTGTGGGTGAGTGAGTGAGTGGGTGAGTGGGTGGGTGGGTGTGTGGGTGGGTGGTGAGTGGGTGGGTGGGTGAGTGGGTGGGTGAGTGGGTAGGTGAGTGGGTGAGTGGGTGAGTGGGTGGGTGAGTGGGTGGGTGGGTGAGTGGGTAGGTGAGTGGGTGAGTGGGTGAGTGGGTAGGTGAGTGGGTGGGTGGGTGAGTGGGTGGGTGGGTGAGTGGGTGAGTGGGTGGGTGAGTGGGTAGGTGAGTGGGTGAGTGGGTGAGTGGGTGGGTGTGTGAGTGGGTGGGTGTGTGGGTGGGGAGGTGGGTGGGTGGGTGAGTGGGTAGGTGAGTGGGTGAGTGGAGGGGTGGGTGGGTAGGTGAGTGGGTGGGTGGGTGAGTGAGTGGGTGGGTAGGTGAGTGAGTGGGTGGGTAAATGGGTGAGTGGGTGGGTGAGTGGGTGGGTGAGTGGGTGGGTGAGTGGGTAGGTGAGTGGGTGAGTGGGTAGAATTGTAATGTATTACTTACTGTTAGTAGCTCAGCTTATTGGAGAGTATATTTAGTATATTGATGATAGTGATGTAGTTTATATTTTAGTTGTTTACGTGGTGGTTTAACTGCTGCAGCTACAGACCATTAACATTCCTTCCCTTTGTTAATGCTACCCCTACTCCCTCCCTTTGATGCTGCTAATCCTGCATAATGCACGGGCATAATATGACTTTGAAACCCCCCGACCACCTCCTACGCATTTCACAAGTAGTGACTAATCGCATATCTGCATTTCCCATAAATATGCTAAATTCCTCTTGACATGCAAATTCCTTTGTCAAGGCGCTCTTCCCCATCCAACCCAGCAGCTTCAATATACGCTGCCAAGCTTGGTGGTGTTCATTCAGACGCTGTCTTCTCGACAGACCTGTTCTTCACCTGAGGACGGCTGCTTGCGTTGTGGCCGAAACGTCGTGAGAATTGTTTTTTATTATGTTTTATTTTTATTATTTTATTATGTTTTATTTTTATTATTTTATTACTTCCCTTCTACGTGACGACTTTACCGAAAGAATCAAAAAGAAGGTAGGGGTGGCGTTTGTGCGCGGGCTACGAGACATCATAACAACAGTCTGGACCGCTGGATGGGTTCCGCAGAATTGGAAGGATGCCCTGGTGGTCCCCCTCTTTAAGAAGGGGGACCGTACCGACTGTGACAACTACAGGGGCATCTCACTCCTCAGTGTGAGGCCGGGAAAAGTCCTGGCAAGGATTATTCAACATCGCCTTGCCAGGCACGCTGAGGAGAGGCTTGCGGAGCCCCAATGCGGTTTCAGCAAAGGGCGGTCCTGCACAGATGCCATATTTTCTGTCCATCTGCTACAGCAGAGGTGTAGGGAATTCCAACAAGGCCTACAGTTCTGCTTTATTGACCTGGTCAAGGCCTATGATACCATCAGTAGGCCTGGGCTCTGGGTTGTTCTTCGTGCTTTCGGAGTCCCTGACCCTCTGCTCACGATCATTAAGGACCTTCATGATGGTGAGCGGGCCCGGGTAAAACTACGTGGCTGGGAGCCATTCCCTGTTCACCTTGGGGTGCGACATTATTGAACATTATTTCGACCGCGTAGTTCGTGAAGCCTTCAGTAGCTGTACTGGAGGAATTTCCATCTGGTACAGATACAACGGGAGGCTGATCGATGCCCGGGTGCGGTCAAGGGATGGCTCCCTATTGCTCAACCACGTTATGTATGCCGATGATCTGGTAATTGATGCTCACTCAGAGGAGGAGTTGGAGGCGCTGCTGCTGAACTTGGAGTGTGCCAGGTTCAGAAGCACTCCACCCCCCCAAATCCCAATTGGTGATGGGGCAGTTGTGGAGAAAGTGGAGAGAGTGGAGAGTTTCCCATACCTGGGCAGTGTGCTCATGACAGGCTCCGGTTTGGCAGCAAAAGTCTCACTCCGAATCAGTCTTTCATCGGCTGCGTAACGCCGCTGTGTGGAAGCGACCTGATCTGTGGCTCCACACAAAGCTTCAGGTCTTCTCGGCCACAGTCAGTCTATGGATTGTGCGAGGAGCTCACAAATCCTTGAAAGGTCTGGACACATTCCCATCGGTGAGCTCCTCCGGCAGGCAAGGCTGCGTTGGCTGGGTCATGTAGCCCGCATGCCCAGCCACCGCATGCCTAAACAGCTCTTGTTCGGCCGGATCGAGGGGGCTAAACGGGCGCGGCACGGGCTAGAGAAGAGATGGAGTGATGTGGTACAGGAGGACGTGGAGCTGAGTGGACTTGCCGATGACTGGTACCAGCGGTGTCAAGATCAGCCTCAGTGGAGGAGGCTCGTGAAGGACGCTACTGGGCAGTTGGAGGCAGTCGCCCTCCAACAACAACGGAGGGCGGAGGAGCGACGCTCACAACAACGAGCGGAGCGCCGGGTGGCTAAAGCACAGCAAGTTGGTACAGTAGGGGGTACAGGTGGTGCATCAGCCAGTCATCTCGGTCATCTCGGTCAGTCGACCCGTGGCACCTGCTGGGTCTGCCCCGTGACCTCCTGCCAGCGGGCGTTCGACACTTCACGTGGCCTCAAGGTGCACTTGGCCTGGCACAAGCATCGTGGTGACGTCACCGCCACTTAGTGGCGAATGGCGGTTGTTGTTGTCTGTGTGTCTGTGGGTGTGTGTCTGTGTGTGTGTGTCTGTGTGTCTGTGTGTATGTCTGTGTGTGTGTCTGTGTGTGTGTGTCTGTGTGTGTCTGTGTGTCTGTGTGTGTGTGTCTGTGTGTGTGTGTCTGTGTGTGTGTGTCTGTGTGTGTGTCTGTGTGTGTGGGTGTGTGTCTGTGTGTGTGTGTGTCTGTGTGTGTGTCTGTGTGTGTGTGTGTGTGTGTGTGTCTGTGTGTGTATGTGTGTCTGTGTGTGTGTGTGTGTGTGTGTGTGTCTGTGTGTGTGTGTGTGTGTGTCTGTGTGTGTGTGTCTGTGTGTGTGTGTTTCTGTGTGTGTGTGTATGTGTGTCTGTGTGTGTGTCTGTGTGTGTCTGTGTGTGTATGTGTGTCTGTGTGTGTGTGTCTGTGTGTGTGTGTCTGTGTGTGTGTGTGTGTGTCTGTGTGTGTGTGTCTGTGTGTGTGTGTTTCTGTGTGTGTGTGTGTGTGTGTCTGTGTGTGTGTGTTTCTGTTGTGTGTGTGTGTCTGTGTGTGTGTTCTGTGTGTGTGTGTCTGTGTGTCTGTGTGTGTGTCTGTGTGTCTGTGTGTGTGTGTCTGTGTGTGTGTCTGTTTCTCACCGGCAGACAGGACTGTCCATAAAAGCCGGCTGCAGATGTGTGTAGGAATCTGCCAAAGAAATCTGCACACAGACACACACAGGCAGACACACACAGGCAGACACACAGCCACGCATACATATACATACACAGATAGACACGCATACGTGTGTCCATGTGTGTCCGTGAGTGAATGAGTGGGTGAGTGGGTGAGCGAGTGGCTGTGTGAGTGCGTGGGTGAGTGTGTGAGTGAATGAGTGGGTGAGTGCGTGAATGAGTGAGCGAGTGGGTGAGTGAGTGTCCGTGTGTGTCCGTGAGTGTCCGTGTGTGTCCGTGTGTGTCCGTGTGTGTGCGTGTGTGTACGTGAGTGTCCGTGTGTGTCCGTGTGTGTCCGTGAGTGTCCGTGTGTGTCCGTGAGTGTCCGTGTGTGTCCGTGAGTGTCCGTGAGTGTCCGTGAGTGTCCGTGTGTGTCGGTGTGTGTCCGTGTGTGTCCGTGAGTGTCCGTGTGTGTCCGTGTGTGTCCGTGTGTGTCCGTGAGTGTCCGTGTGTGTCCGTGTGTGTCCGTGAGTGTCCGTGAGTGTGCGTGAGTGTCCGTGAGTGTCCGTGTGTGTGCGTGTCTGTGTGTGTGCGTGTGTGTGCGTCTGTGTGCGTGTGTGTGCGTGGGTGTGCGTGTGTGTCTGTGTGTGTGCGTGTGTGTGCGTGTGTGTCCGTGTGTGTGCGTGAGTGTCCGTGTGTGTCCGTGTGTGTCAGTGAGTGTCCGTGTGTGTCCGTGTGTGTCCGTGTGTGTGCGTGAGTGTCCGAGTGTGTCCGTGAGTGTCCGTGAGTGTCCGTGAGTGTCCGTGTGTGTCCGTGAGTGTCCGTGTGTGTGCGTGAGTGTCCGTGAGTGTCCGTGAGTGTCCGTGAGTGTGCGTGAGTGTCCGTGTGTGTCCGTGTGTGTGCGTGTGTGTACGTGAATGCCCGTGAGTGTCCGTGTGGGTGCGTGTGTGTACATGAGTGTCCGTGTGTGTCCGTGTGTGTCCGTGTGTGTCCGTGAGTGTCCGTGTGTGTCCGTGAGTGTCCGTGAGTGTCCGTGAGTGTCCGTGTGTGTCGGTGTGTGTCCGTGAGTGTCCGTGTGTGTCCGTGAGTGTCCGTGAGTGTCCGTGTGTGTCCGTGTGTGTCCGTGAGTGTCCGTGAGTGTGCGTGAGTGTCCGTGAGTGTCCGTGTGTGTGCGTGTGCGTGCGTGTCTGTGTGTGTGCGTGTGTGTGCGTCTGTGTGCGTGTGTGTGCGTGTGCGTGTGTGTCTGTGTGTGTGCGTGTGTGTGCGTCTGTGTGCGTGTGTGTGCGTGCGTGTGCGTGTGTGTCTGTGTGTGTGCGTGTGTGTGCGTGTGTGTCCGTGTGTGTGCCTGAGTGTCCGTGTGTGTCAGTGAGTGTCCGTGTGTGTCCGTGTGTGTCCGTGTGTGTCAGTGAGTGTACGTGAGTGTCCGTGTGTGTCCGTGTGTGTACGTGAGTGTCCGTGAGTGTCCGTGTGTGTGCGTGAGTGTCCGTGAGTGTCCGTGAGTGTCCGTGAGTGTCCGTGTGTGTCCGTGAGTGTCCGTGTGTGTCCGTGAGTGTCCGTGAGTGTCCGTGAGTGTGCGTGAGTGTCCGTGAGTGTCCGTGAGTGTCCGTGTGTGTCCGTGAGTGTCCGTGTGTGTGCGTGAGTGTCCGTGAGTGTCCGTGAGTGTCCGTGAGTGTGCGTGAGTGTCCGTGTGTGTGCGTGTGTGTACGTGAGTGTCCGTGAGTGTCCGTGTGTGTGCGTGTGTGTCCGTGTGTGTGCGTGAGTGTCCGTGTGTGTGCGTGTGTGTGCGTGTGTGTACGTGAGTGTCCGTGAGTGTCCGTGTGTGTGCGTGTGTGTACGTGAGTGTGCGTGAGTGTCCGTGTGTGTGCGTGTGTGTGCGTGTGTGTACGTGAGTGTCCGTGAGTGTGCGTGTGTGTGCGTGTGTGTGCGTGTGTGTGCGTGTGTGTGCGTGTGTGTGCGTGCGTGTGCGTGTGTGTGTGTGTGTGCGTGTGTGTGCGTGTGTGTGCGTGCGTGTGCGTGTGTGTCTGTGTTTGTGCGTGTGTGTGCGCGTGTGTCCGTGTGTGTCCGTGAGTGTCCGTGTGTGTCCGTGTGTGTCCGTGAGTGTCCGTGTGTGTCCGTGTGTGTCCGTGTGTGTCCGTGAGTGTCCGTGTGTATCCGTGTGTGTCCGTGTGTGTCCGTGTGTGTCCGTGAGTGTGCGTGTGTGTACGTGAGTGTGCGTGTGTGTGCGTGTGTCTCACCCAGGGGCTCCAGGGTGTCCATGAAGACGTCTTCCAGGTTGGGCTGCAGCTGATCCAGGCCGGGCTGAATCATGTCGGCATTGCCTACGTACGCTACACACACACACGCAGCGTTACGTACACACAGCATTACATACACACACAGAGTACACACACACACAGAGTACACACAGAGTACACACAGAGTACACACAGCATTGCCTACGTACGCTACACACACACAGAGTGCACGCAGAGTACACACAGAGTACACACACAGAGTACACACGGCATGACATACACACAGAGTACACACAGAGTACACACAGAGTACACACAGCATTGCCTACGTACGCTACACACACACAGAGTACACGCAGAGTACACACAGAGTACACACAGCATTGCCTACATACGCTACACACACACAGAGTACACGCAGAGTACACACAGAGTACACACACAGAGTACACACGGCATGACATACACACAGAGTACACACAGAGTACACACAGCATTGCCTACGTACGCTACACACACACAGAGTACACGCAGAGTACACACAGAGTACACACAGCATTGCCTACGTACGCTACACACACACACACACAGAGTACACGCAGAGTACACACAGAGTACACACACAGAGTACACACGGCATGACATACACACAGAGTACACACAGAGTACACACAGCATTGCCTACGTACGCTACACACACACACACACAGAGTGCACGCAGAGTACACACAGAGTACACACACAGAGTACACACGGCATGACATACACACAGAGTACACACAGAGTACACACAGCATTGCCTACGTACGCTACACACACACAGAGTACACGCAGAGTACACACAGAGTACACACAGCATTGCCTACGTACGCTACACACACACACACACAGAGTACACACAGAGTACACACACAGAGTACACACGGCATGACATACAGACAGAGTACACACAGAGTACACACACAGAGTAGACACGGCATTACATAGACACACACAGAGTACACACAGAGTACACACGGCATTACCTACGTACGCTACACACACACGCAGCGTTACGTACACACAGCATTACATACACACACATACATGTCCCCTCCGTGTGTCTCTGTGTGTCCCCGTGTCTCTCTCCCCGCGTCTCTCCCCGTGTCTCTCCCCGTGTCTCTCCCCATCTCTCCCCGCGTCTCCCCCCGCGTCTCTCCCCGTGTCTCTCCCCGTGTCTCTCCCCGTGTCTCTCCCCGTGTCTCTCCTCGTGTCTCTCCCCGTGTCTCTCCCCGTGTCTCTCCTCGTGTCTCTCCTCGTGTCTTTCCCCATGTCTCTCCCCGTGTCTCTCCCCGTGTCTCTCCCCGTGTCTCTCCCCATGTCACTCTTTGTGTGTCTCTCCCCGCGTCTCTCCCCGCGTCTCTCCCCGCGTCTCTCCCCGCGTCTCTCCCCGCGTCTCTCCCCGTGCGTCTCCCCGTGTCTCTCTCCGTGTCTCTCTCCGTGTCTCTCCACGTGTCTCTGTGCGTGTCTCCGTGTCTCTCTGTGTGTGTCTCTCTCCGTGTCTCTCTCCGTGTCTCTCCACGTGTCTCTGTGCGTGTCTCCGTGTCTCTCTGTGTGTGTCTCTCTCTCTCTGTGTCTCTGTGTCTCTGTGCGTGTCTCCGTGTCTCTCTCTCTGTGTGTGTCTCTGTGTGTGTCTCTGTGTCTCTGTGTGTGTCTCACCGCCCACTTGTCCCCAGGGGTGCTGAGCGAGGCTTGAGAACAGCGTGTCTCTACCCGTGCCTCTCTCTGTGCGTGCCTCTGTGTGTGTCTCTGTGTGTGTCTCTGTGTCTCCCTGTGTCTCCCTATGTCTCCCTGTGTGTCTCTGTGTGTGTGTCTCTCTGTGTGTGTCTCTCTCTCTCTCTGTGTCTCTCTCTCTCTGTGTGTATCTCTCTGTGTGTGTCTCTGTGTCTCTGTGTCTCCCTGTGTGTCTCTGTGTGTGTGTCTCTCTGTGCGTGCCTCTGCGTGTGTCTCTGTGTGTGTCTCTGTGTCTCCCTGTGTCTCCCTATGTCTCCCTGTGTGTCTCTGTGTGTGTGTCTCTCTGTGTGTGTCTCTCTGTGTGTGTCTCTCTCTGTGTGTGTCTCTCTCTCTCTCTGTGTCTCTCTCTCTCTGTGTGTATATCTCTCTGTGTGTGTCTCTGTGTCTCCCTCTGTGTCTCTGTGTGTGTGTCTCTCTGTGCGTGCCTCTGCGTGTGTCTCTGTGTGTGTCTCTGTGTCTCCCTGTGTCTCCCTATGTCTCCCTGTGTGTCTCTGTGTGTGTGTCTCTCTGTGTGTGTCTCTCTGTGTGTGTCTCTCTCTGTGTGTGTCTCTCTCTCTCTCTGTGTCTCTCTCTCTCTGTGTGTATCTCTCTGTGTGTGTCTCTGTGTCTCTGTGTCTCCCTGTGTGTCTCTGTGTGTGTGTCTCTCTGTGCGTGCCTCTGCGTGTGTCTCTGTGTGTGTCTCTGTGTCTCCCTGTGTCTCCCTATGTCTCCCTGTGTGTCTCTGTGTGTGTGTCTCTCTGTGTGTGTCTCTCTGTGTGTGTCTCTCTCTGTGTGTGTCTCTCTCTCTCTCTGTGTCTCTCTCTCTCTGTGTGTATCTCTCTGTGTGTGTCTCTGTGTCTCTGTGTCTCCCTGTGTGTCTCTGTGTGTGTGTCTCTCTGTGCGTGCCTCTGCGTGTGTCTCTGTGTGTGTCTCTGTGTCTCCCTGTGTCTCCCTATGTCTCCCTGTGTGTCTCTGTGTGTGTGTCTCTGTGTGTGTGTCTCTCTGTGTGTGTCTCTCTCTGTGTGTGTCTCTCTCTCTCTCTGTGTCTCTCTCTCTCTGTGTGTATCGCTCTATGTGTGTCTCTGTGTCTCTGTGTCTCCCTGTGTGTCTCTGTGTGTGTGTCTCTCTGTGTGTGTCTCTCTGTGTCTCTGTGTCTCTGTGTGTCTCTCCCCGTGTGTCTCACCGCCCACTTGTCCCCAGGGGTGCTGAGCGAGGCTTGAGAACAGAGTGTCCGAGAAGTCCGACATCAGAGCATCGACATCAAACAGCAGCGACGGGTCTCCACCACCACAACCACCACCACCACCGCCACCACCGCCACCACCGCCACCACCACCACCGCCGCCACCACCGCCACCACCGCCACCGCCGCCACCACCGCCCACTCCTCCGTAGCCGGGCAGAGGAGCCTGGAGGTCTGGGCCCTCGGCCAGACGAGCCACTCGCTCCGATATCGCCTCCTCCTACACACACACACCCACAGTGATATACACTATACACTACTACACTACACACTACACTACTACACTACACTATACACTACACTATACACTACACTATACACTACACTATACACTACACTATACACTACACTATACACTACTACACTATACACTACACTACTACACTACACTACTACACTATTACACTACACTACACTATACACTACACTACACTACACACTACACTACACACTATACTATACACTACACTATACACTACACTATACACTACACTATACACTACACTATACACTACACTATACACTACTACACTATACACTACACTATA